CCTAGTAAACACAAGGACACCAGAGCTACTGATGCCCACAGCCCACCTCTGAGATGCCACGGAGAGGTCGCTCTGCTGCCCAGGTGCAGGGCTTGGTGCTTTACATGGTGTGGATGCCCCAGGTGAGTGCTGGGACCTGCAGGTCAAGAGCTTTCCAGAGTCTGCCCATTCATCTCCAAGGCAGGCTGCCATATCCCTTGCATCATGCAGCTCAGGAATGTCTCAGACTAGAGGCTTCGTAAGGGTACTATCAATCGCCTGGGTTTACAGAGAATTTTACTGTAGGCCAAACACTGATCTAAGTACTTTACATATATGGTATGATCAAAACTATGAATAAATTTTAAAACATGTTAGGGTAAAAGATGTAACCATGAATCTCCCGCAAAATATGCCGCCTTGATTTGAACACACTCATCCCATCCTCCTTGCCACTTTCTGCAGCAGCTCTGGAGGTGCTCTTTCCTGAGTGTCTTTAATTACGCTCTCATGGCTGCCCCATATCCTGTCCTGGAGGGTCGACCCGAAATGTTTTCCTTTCATGGTAATTTGGGGAAGACCCAATGGGTTATGGGATCATGGGTCTTTGGGGAAGAGCCAAAAGTCATCCAGTGCCAGATTTGGTGAATAAAGTGGATATAGATGCACCCTAATATTTTTATTGCTAGTAAATGCTTTGAATCTATTTAGGACATCGAGGCAGCCACAACAGATAGACACTCACTCAGGAAAGAGGACCCCAGAGGACTTCAGAAAGTGGCAAGAATGATGGGATGAGTGTGTTCAAAGTAAGGGAAATAATTGTGAGGGAGATTAATGGTAATGCATCCTTCCCTGTAAAAATTTTTAAAAATTTGAACATTCACTGCATTTTGGTCACATTTCATGCATTACCTCTTTCATTCCTAAATGGCATTTAGGCAAATTACTATTATTATCTCCAATTTATAGTAGAGAAAACAGAGGCATAGAATTGAAATAATTTTCTAAGGATCCAAGAGTTGATAAGCTCCAAAGCCTGGGAGGAGGTAAGGCAGACCTGAAGACTCTTTTGCTCGGTAGCAGGGCTTGTGGCGGCCCATGGGACAGTCAGTGGACCAGTGGCTCAGCCCTTCTGCCCAGCTGTCTAATTTCTGTTTTGTCTATTATCAAGTTTTTTTTTTTTGGTACTGGGGATTGAACTTGGGACCTTCCACTTACAAAGCAGGCAGTGGAACCACTGAGCTAAATCCCCGGCCCAGCTGTCTAATTTCTGTTTTGTCTTGTGTGTTGGTGCTGGGGACTGAACCGAGGGCCTTGTGCATACCGGACCTAAGCTGTACCTCTGAGCTGCACCCCCGCCAACACCTATCCCACTTGCTGCCTTCTCAGGTGGCCGGCTGTGTCCTGAGCTCACTCAGTCCATCACCAGGGTCCGATGGACCATATCCCAGCCACAGTGGTGAGCCGGCTGAGACACGCTATTGTGCTGTTCCCTGGCCAGAGGTTCTGGGTCTGAGGGAGAGCATGCGTGGGAGGGAAAGACAAAGTGACCGCTGTGTGGGGTGGGGAAGTGTGTGACACACACTTTACAAGCCCCGAACTGGGTCATGGCTCCTCTGACTGAGCAGTATCCTTAGAAATACAGCAGCTGGACTCTGGATACCCCAGGCTCCTGCCTGTTCAGCTGTGAATGACAAAGGTGAGCACTGCCGCATCGGTGGGTGGGCGGCTGTCTGGGTGCAAGCTCACACCAGCAGCAGCTGTCCCCAGCCTCCTGGCCCCACCTCCATCTATTAAAGAGCGATGAGTCACTCTTTCTCATGGTGACGGTTCACACCCTGAACTGAAGACAGGGAAACCCCCAGGGCTGCACAGCATGACAGTCCTGGATGCAGGGCCAGAAAGGAGCTGCTCACCAGATCTAACCGTGAGATCTTTCAGAGCAGACAGGAAATCGGGTCAGCATGGGAGGAAGGAGATGAGAACTGTGTCTCTCAGAGCTGACGCTCAAGTCTTTCCTCACCACGCCAAGATTCCCAGAAGGCTGGAGACTCAAAGGGGACAGGGTTCCACCACCTCTGAGTTTCAGGGGACCGAGTCCTACAGTGAAAGAGCTTGACTCACAATCCAGTACACATAGCATCTGCACTTGAAAGTCAGGCGGGAAAGCTGAGGTAAGCAAGAACACTCCTCCTCCGCCTTCTCTTCTCTTCCACACGGACACACCAATATAGGGGCCAGGATTCATGAGGGGGAGCTGAGGGGAGCTTCCTTCCTCCATCAGGAAGTTTCCAACTTCCTCTTCACTCCTGGGGAGAAGAAGCTCTTTCCATTCCTCCTCTGTCACTCTTTCTCTTACTTACCACTCTGCTGGCAAAATCTCAGACTTGTTAGTCTGTTAGAAAATGTTTCTGAGTCTGACTTGGCCAGGAAAAAGCTGTCAGACAAGTCACCTTCTTTGGATGTTGATTAGAACCCCCTGGAAAATGTGTTTCTATGGACTTCTGGAGATTTGGATGATGGGAGACTGCAGTCTGATACATGAGGACAAAATGCTAATCCCAAAGAATGAGCAGCATCTCTAAAGTCAGACAGACTTGCGTTCAATTCCAGTTCTGCCATGTCAGAACTTGGAAAAGCTACATAACCTTCCCAAGACTTGGTGTCTTCCATCTGAAAAACTGGAATGATGATTATCTTGCAGATTAACAAAACTAAATAACATGATGAAGTGGAAGAACAGCAGATGTAAAAGTAGGTCTTGTTTCAGATGATTCTTTTCCAATGCCAAATGAAGCCTCCTACACCTTCCGGTCCTGGCATTCTGCCCCACCAAAGAACAATCAAAACCAAATGAAAAGTTTAGTCTAGGCTTAATACATGCGCATTTTCAGTGTATTTCCATTCTGTTTATATTTTTCCACATTAGGAAAATAGAAGCGAACAGGGAAGAGCGGTGGGTGTTGTGTCCCACCACATAGCCCTGCTCCCCTGGGGCTTGCTGGAGGCTGCTGGCCTTTTCTTCCCAGGATGTGAACCAAACAAACGCAACCGAGGAAGGGGCACTGCCATGCCATCTGAGTCTGAGCAAGTGTGTGCTCAAGGAGACAGGGGTCAGACTCCTGGCTCCCGGAGAAGGGCAGTGTGGATGGGAGGGTGCAGAAAACACAGCTGTGAAGCCAGTGTGCCCTAACATAGGGGCCACATCCAGGACAGCCTCATGGATGTGCAACTCTGTGCAGTCACACGAGAGCCCAGGCCCAGGGCCTTTCATGCTCTCACTACCTCCTTGAAATGTCTAATTACTTGGAATTTAGAGGAGGGTTGATAAAAAAAATACAGTCTTTAAAATTTTTATTACAGTAAAAGACACATTGCCTTGAGTTCCCCTTGAAATATTTCTTCTCTTTTCAAACTCACTCATCCCATGGCTTTTGCCACTTTCTGGATCAGCTCTAGAGTTCTCTGTCCTGAGTTTCTTTAGCTGTGCTGTCCTGGCTGCCTCAATGTCCTGAATTGATTCAAAATGTTTAACTTTCATGGCCATTTCTGTCTTTGGGGAAGAGCCAGAGTTTCACAGTGTCAGATCTGGGAAATAAAGTGGCTGCTGACATCACGTTGTTTTTACGAGCCCACTTTTCCATTGGCTGGCACCTGGCTGCAGCATTCACTGTCTCTTTTACCCTCTTCACAGGGACATGGTAGACGCCTTCCAGAGATGCTTGAGAAAGTAGCACGAATGATGGGATAAGGGTGTGCACAGGGAGGTATTTTGAGGGAGATTTATGGCAATGCATCTTTTACTGTAATAATTTTTTACAATTTCAGTGTTTATGACATATTTTGAGCACTCCTTGTATTTTGTAAGGCAAGTCTGCTGGGACAGTGGGAAATGTGCTGAAGTCGGAGCCTGGTTGGTGACACCTCCCAAGGACAGGTCCTGGGCGGGGCACTCTGCTGTTTCCTGGTGTCCTGCCCCACCAGCTTCCCCTGTGCATGTTCCTGTGGCCATCACTGCCTTCCACGCCCAGAGGAGTGATGGGCTGAGGCCCGGCAAATGCCTCAGGTGACTCCTGGGGGCCCTGGCCACTGCCCATCTCCAGCTGTACCCCGGGGCCCTTCGGTGCAAGTGTGCACAGCTGCCTGGAACCCGCATCTCAGCAGGGCCAGGCCCTTCTCCCTCCGCCCCTGCTCCTCGTCCTGCATCTCGTGGAGAGGCTTCAGCAGCCCCGCGTCCTCCTGCCTGTTGTGACTTGGGGCCTGGCCCTCAGGAAGGGACGTTCCCGGCGTGACTTCCCCGTGCTCTGTCCCCAGGCCAGGCGCGCCTCAGCAATCTGCCTGCCATGAGGGGCTGCACTTGTTTCTCCCATGTCCTCACGCCCAGGGTTGCCCCCAAGCCAAATGCTGTCCTGCCAGGGCGCTCGGGGCGGGCCTTCCTCTGGCCTCCCAGGGCTGGTCTGTGTTCATCCTCTGGTCAGCTTTAAGCGCTTGACGAGGAAAATTCAGACCGTGTAATTTCAATGATGCCACCGATGGCTTAGATGGTCTGATTTTAAACGACTCTTGTGCAATGCAAACATGAATGGGAAAACCTATGCTATTAATTTAAAATGCTAATTTTTAACATAGAACATTAAATAGCAAACAGAAAACACCATGCCAAGTAAAAGAAAGAGACTGTGGAACACAGGGATTTATATGTATGATTCTTTAGTGGACAATTTTTCTGCTTTTTGAACAAAAATTCATGCTTTTGAGCAGAGTCTCGCCTTACACAAACTGTACCCCCACCCTGATTAGATCATGCAGTCCACAAACGGACTAAAGGTCCCCTTAGGTGTAGCATTTGGTCATTCTGAGACCCTCTTCAAATGACAAAACAATTTTCTCTATGCCTCAGAGCATTTGACTTATATTTCTGTATTTAAAAAATTTTTTTTGTATTTTAAAATTTTTATTTTGCCCTAACCAGGGGTTCAGTCTCCATGTACAAAAAAATCACACCTTATTTTTTTTTAATTTTAAATATACAGTAGGAACATTTATTTTAACACTTCTAAAAGATATTTCTCTATGCCTGATGATTTTATATAAAAACTCAAACCCATCATACTTTTCCCATTAGTCTTTCTAAATCAAGGGCAATCAGAAATTTGCACATGAATATTAGCTTCTGAAACAAAAAATTACAAATTAATCATGAACAAAAATCACACCTTTTTGAAATCTAACTCCTCTTACGTCTACCTATGGCTTCAACCATGAGGAATTCTCAGTTAAATTTTGCTGCATGCCTGAAAATCAGAGAAATGCTCACCGGAAGCTGATCGTTCTGTTATGGAAATAAGAACACTGAAAAAAGATAAATCTAAACATCCAAGGTCCAGTTTCCCTCCTGAGCTGGACCAGAGTCCCGACTCCCTGGGGCCAGGCATCATCCTCCTGTGCCCAGCGACACTGGTGTCCACCATGCCCGGCGTGCCATCTTTGCCCGCCCTCACCGCGAGCCTCCGTGGAGTGAGGATCCCTCCTCCATGCTGTGGCACCAAGATCAGCTCTCTCCTCCCCTCCCCAAGGCAAACGCCTTCAGTCCTCTTCATGTCACCTACTGCACGCAGCCCAACTTTTCCACTGAATGCGCTTCTCTCACGGTGCACCACCCATCCGACTCACGTTTCTGCCTGCGTCTCTGCCTTGACCCTTTGGCCCTCTAGCCAGCATTTAACCGATAGGAAATCTCCAGCTCTCTGACAAGCTGACTCCACCATATTTCACCATGTTGGTGAACTGACAAAACGGTTCCATTCAAATGTCACTTTTACAAGTGAAATTTGCCAAAGCCATAATGAGGTCTCATTTCCTGCCAACCAAGATGGCACTCCCCACGTTGCCTGCGTGCTGGAGACACAAGAGTCCCTCAGAGGGCGTAAGGCCGGACACAATGTGGCCTGCAGATGCAACAGGATAAGATGCTCTGTCACTGCCACATGCAGGTCACGCTTGAGAACACTGTGCTGAGTGACAGCGGGCAGACACCAGGGCATGAGTGTAGTGTGACCCCACTTCCTCAGAGCAAGCAAAATGGGCAGGTCCCAGGGACTGAGTAGAGCAAGAGGCGAGGGGGGTCGGGCGCGAGGGAAGGGGGGCGATTGCTGCCGGGCACGGGGTTTCTGTTTAGGGTGATGCAAGGTTTTGGAAACATGGGGGTTTGGTTACACAGTGCTGTGAATGGGAAAAATGCCACAGAGCTACACACTTCACACTGGTTGAAATGTCAAGCCTCATGTGATGTGTACTTTACCATAAGTAAAACTCTTTCTAAAAACATTATATTAATGCCAAAAAATACTTCATGTGCATTGTTAGAAATTTAAAATATTAGTAATTATCCTTGGTACAAATTTATATGCTATATTCATTTCCTTAGCTGTACATATTTTAGTATGAAGAATGTTACTTTTTCTTAACTACAGTTCAGCTGGGTGCAGTGGCATAGGCCAGTAACCCTGTGAAACTGAGGCAGGATCAGAACCACGATCCCCAGCCTGGGCAACTTAGACCCGTCTCAAAATAAAAAATAAAGGCGCGGATGTAGCTTGGTGCAAAGGCCCTGGGTCCAATCCCAGTACTGCAAATACATTTTGGTAAGATTATTTGGTCTTTTAATTTTATTATTAATACATTTTGAGTTATTATGTCTTTAACCTATTCTGCTGAGGCCCATACTGTTTTTCATTGAGAAAATACTCTATAGAATTTGATAAACCCAGACCAAAACTGACCTTCAGGTTGAGATTGTAGGTACCGCAGGTCAAATATTTTCACAGATACTGTCTTTCTGAACTCTTTAGAGTGCCTTTCTTTGATACATAATATTTATTAAACAAATTTTTCCAAAGAGTTGCCACCATTTATGATTTTTTTAATGTTTCCTCAAATGTAAATGCTGCAAAGTGTAAGCATTTTCCACCCACTTCCCAATCTTGGCACAGAACACTAATGAATCCAGTTGAAAACAACTGCATTAAAAGAGCCTTCCCCCAAATTGAAATATTCTAAACCAAACTTAATCCTTTGGAATGAGATATTATACCATTGAAATCCTCATTTCCATTCCCTCATTTTTGCAGGGATAAACGACTTCCTATTTCTAAATTTTCTGCTTTATAACTACAATTTTCTGGAAATTTACACTTTTTGCTGTTCCAATTGTTAAATGCTGTACTGGCATAAAAATTCCCAATTTACTGTGTATGAAATGCAATTAGTAGCTAAAGGAACAGTATACAAAATATGTTAGAACACTACAGGTAACAAAGGCTGATTTCAAGAGAGTCCACAAAGGCTCCAACACTTCTAAACTGCAATTGCTGATGAACAAAGAGAAAATAAACAAATCGTGCCATGAAAAAGCAGTTTTGTGTGTTCAACATTATCAATATCATAAACTATTACAGAGTTTTTAATATATATTCCTGTTAACATATTCACAAAGTTCTAGTTAAATATATTAAAATGTAATTGGTAGAATAGTAAGCTTGTTTACCAGCAATTATAAAGTATATATGTTACAAGTATATAAATCCACTTCAGATCCATAAGTTCTTAAATTTGGTAAAGACACAAAGTTTATACCACATGTCTGTTACCAAAATTTGTATTTATATTATCACAAAATATTTTCCTCTTCAAAGTCAAAAATTTTAAACTTAATTCCCAATAGGATTCATAATAATGCCAACCAAATCAACTCCTAAGATTTACTTATATTCTATGAATTAGATTTTCTTAAATGATCATTATTATTTTTTTTAAATGATCATTATTGAAATAGACTTGGTTGGGGATTTAGTTCAGTGGTGCCTTTGCCTGCCTCACAAGCACAAGGTCCTGAGTTCAATCCCCAGTACCAAAAAAAAAAGAAGAAGAAGAAATTAACTTATTCGAAGCATCTGATAATAGAGATAAAGTGGCATCATTTAATTCAGAATTTCTCTTCTCCTGATGGAGCCAATAAATTGTCACTTCACCATGGGCATGTACCCTGGAAAGCCTGCACCGGCGCTTGGAAGAGTCATGTTCTGCAGAGCAGTGAGCAATGCACCTTCTCTATCTGCATGTATTCAGTTGTTAGAGTCAGTGTCTTATAAATCCTACATTTTGAAATAGCTGATTTTTCAGCAGGTTTCTGTCTTCTGGTTTTCCTTTGGTTAACATTTTTCTTTAGTACCGGGGATTGAACCTGGGACCTTACGCTTTCGAGGCAGGAGGTGGATCCACTGAGCTAAATCCCTGCTGGTTAACATTTTATATATATTATCTTATCAACATCACCTTGCGAAACAATAATTCAGCCCATAATTTGTCAAATATGTGGGAGTTTTGGACTTGTGGCTGCTGAGAGGGTTTATTGCTAATAAAAGATCACCATCAAAGAAAGAAACACAGTGGCCCCTTGACTTATGAACTCAATTCATTCCCGAGCACTGGTTGTAACTCAAGTTGGTCAATTGAAGGCTCAGCTCCTCTACACAGCCTTCAAAGTGTCTCTGTACACAGGCAGATCTCAGTGCCCTTAGAGAGACACTGGCCCAGGATTTCTCAGTGAACCCCACTCAGGAAAGGGTGCTGTAATGTTCCTTCCAGAACTCTTTAGGGGGTTAATCTGTGTCTGAGACCATCTGGAAGCACAAGTGATAAGCATTCAGGTTGTAACTCAAGACTCTGTTTGTAAATTAAACCTAAAATTCTGTTTGTAACAAAGTTCTTCGTATGTTCAGCCAGTCATAACTTGAGGGTCCACTGTAGTAACTGTAATACAATGCCTGAGATCACTGTAGGAGTTCTTCATGTCCTGATCTGTCGTGAATGTGCTGTATGCTGTCCTTGGACCAGAGGTGCCGTTGGAAGTTATCCACAGGTTAAGGTGAAGATCTGTACATTAACTCCTCAAATGCTACCAAAAGACCCCCCACCAAAAGACAAAGAACAACAATGAGATGGCCCCAGTAGAAGCTACAAGTATAAAGTAGAATCATTAATTTGCTCAAAGTGAAAACTCTAAAGCAAATGATGATACAGATGAACACACAATTGGTTACCCAGCTTAGAGTCATTTCCCACTTAAGCCCAAGTGATGCTTTTTAAATATAAATTTGGTATTATCCTTCCCCTTTGTCTGATTCTTCCGCTGTCCCTTATGAGATACATCCCAGCACTTAGCAGCACCTGAACGCACTGCAGAGAGTAACCACCTCCCCCCTCCCCGGCCAGCCACAGTCTAGAGACAGGCAGAGGGTCAGAGGCACTGGCTCAAGTTGCTAGTTTAATGAAGCAACCTCCTCACAGGTGTGAAGCCCACTGAGTCCTCCCCTTCCTTCACAGTAAATGTAGCTGTACTAGGAGATTTCTTCTTCTTCCTCTTCCTCTTTTTTTTCTTCCCAGTACTGGGGATTGAACTCAGGACCTTGTACTTGCAAGGCAGGTGAGGGCCATTGAGCTAAATCCCTAGCCCTAGGAGATTTCTTTTGAGCTGCAGCCTGGGGAAGGGTCTTGCCATCCACCCCATCAGCCTTCTTCTCCCAACTCTTCCTGTTGCCAGCCTGTTTCCTCTGATCCCTGTTGAACGACAATGTCCAAGAAGTCAGACGTGTCTTGCTCACCATTCCACCAACGTCATACACAGTATGCCCACCGAGCCCTTAGGAATAGGGTCTAAACAACGTGTAATCAATAGTAAAAGACAGCGTGTAGTCAGTGCCGAGTCAGTCCTGGAAACAAGAGCTGCTGGAAGCTGCATTTCAATGCGCAAGGAGTCAGCATGCTCTTTGGTCTCATTAGATATCAGGAAATATGTGTTCCAGGTTCCAAGGAGCAAAAACAGGAAGGTTCAGAGTTGAGGTTAGAATTGGAACTAAGGTGAGATCGAAACGTTTTGGGGCTTGGGAAACACATAATGACTGCTGCAGTCTGCCTCCAGGGTCGCTGTAAAGCGAAAGACAGAGGGTGGGCTGGGATTCCAGTCTAGGACTTGCCTGCTGTATCTTGTGGGACTTGGGAAGCCATAGAGAACCTGTAAGTGTGCTGCAGAGAGTATTTGCCTAGCACAGGCAAGGTCCTGGTCTCATCCCCAATACCACAAATAAAATAAAAAGGAAAAAATATGAGCCAGTGTTTCCTAATCCAGACAGTGGCCCACAGTCTGATGCTCTGACTTGAGATTTCTGAACCTGAAGGCAGAGTGAAAGCAATACACATGCAGTAGAAACCATATTTTAGAATTTAAAGTTTTGATCTCTCCCAAGACTGTCACATGTGGGTTTGTCACTCTCTAGAGATTGGGGGCAGCTCCCCGATGGCCCTACCATCCCAGATAGGAATACTGGACGCTCTACAGACTGTTGCTAAGCCATGCGTTTTCCTGTATTTTCATTTCAAAATGGGTTTACTGAGACGATCTCATTTTACGCTGGGGACATCTGTACAGCTGGCTAGGACAGCTTTGCCAAAGAACATACTGGGAACCCTGGAGATATACATTTCCTGCAAAGATTTCCTTAATTTAGACTCACAGCTGGGTCTGCTGTCCATAACTACATCAATAAACCTACAAGTCAAATTAATTTCCATAAATGTCCCAGAGATTCTTGGGAGGTGGACGCATACCCTCTTAATTTAAAAAAGAAAGGTGTGCAGCGATAACATTCCAGTAATCGGATAGGAGCGCAAATCCGTTTTGCGGCAGAGTCCGATGCACTGGCGGCGGCAGCGTTATTCAGGCTGGCTGCCCAGACGCGGACAGTCCATCGCGCTGCCCTGTTCTCAAGGCCAAGTGCTTCCTCCCTAGAGAACTGCACGCTCCTCCCCCCTCACACTGCACCAAAAGCCACCGCACTGGACTCAGAAGTGCATTACTGACCTCGTGCACACCTGTCACCAGCCGTGTTATTAGATACAGCACTGTGGTAATGACCGTTCCTCTCCCTGGGCCTCTGTTCCACCTCCCACTGACCTGGCTGCCTCCCGTTCCAAGTCGAGGGGCCCATTAAGGGCACCTTCCTCCATTAACGCAGCGACATTTTACTACACACAAGCCGCTCCGAGGATCCATCTTGGAGCGTAAAGTGCCAGCTCCTGAGACAGTTTGGGGGGAGCCCGCTTAATCCATTCCCATGGCAAAGGGGACACAAATGGTAAATTTCACAGGTCAGCAGTAATAGCGCCCTGTTATTTAACTGACACAGCCCACAGTTCTGTCTTGAAAACACGCGTCTGAAACTTTCTCCTACACCAAAGGACTTCCACCTCCCCAGAGATGCAACTAACAATTCTGCTCATTCAGAGACAGCGCCAGCAATGTCATCCCCCACGCGCAAGACTGACAATCCCTTCTGGACAAAACAAAGCTGACAGAACTGTAGCCTCCAGCCGTCACCAAAACTTGCCTCAGCTAAAATCACAGAGCTTAAATCTTTTCTCTGCCTTTAAGATAGCAGCCTTTCCCCCAAACTATTTTTTGATTTTGCTATATTTCAATAAAAGAAAAAATACATCCAGAAAAGTTTGCTTCTGTCCCTAAAAGTAACTTCTCATAGCCTGGCTTTCATCAGCCGTTTTCTGTTCCCACGCTTAGGAACTTGGGTGGAGGTTTATTTGAATGCAAAAGACATGTCCAGCACATTACAAGAATGAGTCCCATAGATATTTCCAGGGAAGCCTTTAAATATTTTGCGAGGAGGATAGAAGCATTCAGACTTAGTGAGCCACTGAGGACATCGCTCATTGTGAGATTTAAAATTTAATCCAACCTTAATCATGCACTATCGAGACTGGACCATCCAGTTCCTAAGGTACCGACCTGCCAGCCCATCTATGATTCAGAGTGTCCCACAGCCCACCACCTAGCGAGACTTGGAGTGGCCTTCTCCACTGTCCTCTTCTCGCAGTGTTGTGCACACAGATGCAGGAGACAGGAGGGGAGGAAGGGATGGGAGGAAGCCCCCAATTTTTTCTCAAGACAGGGTCTCACTATGTAGCTCAGGCTGGCCTTGAGCTCATGGAGATCCTCCTGCCTCAGCCTCCCGAGCACTGAGATCACAGGTGAGCACCACCATGCCCAGCAGATAGGTTTTTGTTGTTATTTTGAGACAGGGTCTCATTGCACAGTACAGGGTGGCCTTAAACTTGAGGAATGAGTTGCATGCAGTGACCAAATCAGAAGTGAACCACTTAATGGTTTTGTTTGTTGAGGTAGGAGTTTGAGATAGGGTCTCACTATGGAGCTCAGGCTGGGCTTGAACTCACTATGGAGCCCAGGCTGAAGCAAAGTTGAGGGTATCCTCCCACCTCAGCCTCCTGAACGCTGGGGTTACACGTGTGCACCACCAAGCCTGGCTCCCTTTCTCAATAGAAAGAACATGCTTTAAATCATTATGTGTTTACACTGCTTCTCCCTTTCCCCCGCATGGAAACCAGATCAAAGCCAGGGAGCAGCAGCTACGGCACCTGAGAAGCTGCTGGACAGCGGTGACCCCTTCCAAACTCCCCGGCAGATGTTTGAGAGTCTAATGGCCACAGTGCCTCTCCTGTTGCCAAGAAGCTGGAGTCTCCGGATTCCCCTCCAAGCTTGGTTTTCCCGGCTGAGCTTGGTTTTCAGTGGACTGCTTACGATGGACAGCAGAAATGCAGGGTCTGCCGCCTGTTTCTCCTTTTCAGGGCATCTTCTGACAGGGCCAGCTGTATGGTGTCTGTGGAAATGGGTTTGTGAAGCAGGAGGGCGCTTCGATCCAAGCTGGTGGACAGGAGATGTCAGATTCACCCCACACTGTCCCAGGCGGGCGGGGGATCCTGAGGCTCGGGTCCAGAGCCCACACAAAGGCGAGGAAGGAGCCTCACTTTCCTCCAGGGACTCATTCTCACCGAGAGAGTCGCCATGCTGCGAGCCCAGTGGCCACAGTGGTGAGCAGCCTGCCACTGTGGAGCTGGGCATCTGGGTGACTTTGGAACTGGTCCTCATCACATCATCAATAAACGCTGCATTACAACCCACAGATCTGTAGACGCTGCCCGGAGGGAGGCGTGAATGCCACTTGTGCCAGACTCTGGTCTACCCAGCAGAGCATGTGGGATTCCGGGATTTCGGGATTTCGGGATTTCACCACTTAGCAAACCCAAGGCTGAGGGGGGAAAATCCCCAAACAAACACACAAACACCACCTGCACCCCCTGACCAGTTCTCTCTGACAGAACGATTTTATTTCTCCGACTTCTTAAACTGGCTTTTATTTTTAGGAGTAACCCATCATGAAAAATGCACACTTCCTTAAAACCTCACCCTGATTTCGTTTCGGGTTTGAGCCATGTGAAAGAATTAGCATCAGAAAGCAAACTGTACAGCCGCGGGCCTGTTGTTTACCGTTAGGAGACAGGGCCCCGCTGTCCCGCTGCTTCTACTTTTTCATGTTCCCTGGCTAAGTCCTAAATACTACATTTCTCAAATGCTCACTAAGGGAATCTGAACCCCAGACCAAAAGGCTGGCACTGGAAAAGGTGATCAAGGTGTTATTCAAAAATATGAGCTTCAAAAAGTTCACTTAGGTCATAGATCCAAAGGCACAGGCTTTCCCTCAATGGCGAAGCATGACCCTGGCTGCAGAAAAGGCCTTGAGCCAGTCCAGCCATAACCCCTGGTTGCTGGTCACAGCAGAGTTGACCATGGACACTCCCCAAAGGTGGCAGAGTTCTGGGAGTAAACTGAGCAAGGTGAACCAGGTTCTCCCTCAGAACCGGAAGTTGGAAATCCACAATACCCTGATGGGCGCAAGAACTGGAAGGAGGATTGTGAAGATTTGCTCGCCCAGTCACCTTGGGCCATGTGCTGATGAAACCACTTAGTCTTTGGAAGAGATTGTAAGCAGCAGTGATAAAAAGAATATGCAGACTTTGATGACAGAAAGCACTTCAGTTTGTTTGTTTTTGGTACTGGGCAGGTACTTGGTACTTACAAAGCAGGCACGGTGCCATTGAACTAAATTCCCGGCCTGAGCACTTCAGTTTTTGAATTTCTACTTCTAGTTTCTGCCTGACCTTTCTCCACTTAGTTTCCTATTCTCACCATGTCCTACTGTAGCTTATTTGACATTTTATTCCTTACATGCAATAAACTTTTACAATTAGTGTTAGCTGGGGTGTGTAGCTCAGAGGTAGGAAAAAAAAGGTTATAACTGGTCCAAGTTACCAGCTCACACGTAAGAACAGTTTGTATGCAGAGTCAGAGTGAAAAGTCACAGAGAACCAGCAGAAAAAGAAAAATATCCATCCCACAGTGACGGCTTCCTGTGCTCCTCCATGCATTAAAAATGAGCTAACCATATTTCCATTTCTCTCTACCACCCCCTCCAATCAGTTTCATGTTGTGTAACTTCCAGACTGTGGAAATCACATGATACGGCCTTGTGCAAGGTCCCTCTATTAATGCTATCAAACTTAATTTCTCTAGTTGGAGCAATTTAACCTATGCATGATTCCAATAAATCTAAGAGCAGAGCAATTTTTGCACCACTCAGTTGATCTTCTCAGGCCTTGGGGATCCCATAAAGATGCTCTGATTTCTCAAAAGT